TTTTCAACGTGCTGTATAAATTTCAAATAGGCAGCACACTTATGCAAAGACATGCTAAAGATTACTTGACCGAATTGGCCAGACAAACGGTAGCATAATGAGTAAAAAATGCAGCTTCAAAGACGCATGTAGTACAAGGGAAACGTACCTTGAAAACGCTCTTGGCACCCTCACAGTCGAAGTATTCCGAATGACGACTCGTAACAAACATGCGATAATTGTAGTCACTTAAGCTTCAGAGCATCACTGACAGGTGGCATCCATGTCTTACGGTTTTCGAAATATCTCGAATTTCGACTTTGCCCCAACTCCGGCATTGCCCCAACTTCCCCTACTGTTCTGTGTGCTATTGCAGTCTCCACTTCGTCTTCATCGTGCTACTGCCGTGTGTTATGTTGTAGTCTCCGGGTGTTGTTGCTATTGTTGTGTGCTCTGTTGAAGTTACCGACATTGAATGGTGCTACCGCTTTATGCAGCATTGCAGTTTCTATTTATTAGTTTCAAGCATTAGTGTCACTGTTTTGTGCGACGGTTGCAGTGCCATGCGTGTTTTATGCATAATACACGTTGGATACTAGTGAAAGCCGACATCATTACGTAGACTATAGCATGCATCGCGATGCATTCCATGACGACACTGTCACCTTGCTGTGACACTACTGCTTCACTTTCGTCTACCCGTATTCTTACGGTGATTTTGTTTTCATGTAGGTGACATGACTTTGACAATTTACGCTACAAAAGTCTCAATAGCCGGCACTTTTGCTCTAATGCACCAGAGTCGACACTGCAATATGTGTAATGACATTGACACTCTTATGTGAGCCATTCGTTCTTGTTTCAGCGTGCAAAGATAATAGCTCCCTGTGGCTCTGCAGCCACGTCCACGCGGCGTCTTGCAGAACGATTATAGGCTAGACTGCAGCTTGTGCAGTGTGCAATGTACTATGTGCATATAGCTCTGATGCCTGAGGTGGAGATAAAATACCATCTTTTCACTTGGTCACTTAGTGTATATCAATATTGCACTGTGGCACATCAGAACCTATTAAAAGTTGCATAACGTTTCGGCACGAGCCACGACTACTGCTGTTCGAGTAGTAAATTAATCTTGGCTCTATGTATTGCTGTGAGAAGTGTCACGATGAAGTTTTGTGATGACCTGTGATTCGGTCATGTGAGTTTTTTTAGCTCCAACAAAATGATAAGAAATCAATGTTGTTAAAGTAGAAGGTTATTGTAGTGCATAAGCTGACACATTTACGTGTTCTAATCCGATGAGTAGGCCGTGCTATTTTCTTGTGGAATGTGAAAGCTGTCCCGTTGGTAAAAGAGGAAAAATGGACCATGTGAACAGTGAACTCATCGGGTTTACCAATCATTTGGTTCTTTTGAAGCTTACTAATCTAAAGGTCACCTCGTAGTGCTTTTGATATCTTCAAGATATCTCGGCCGCTCAAAGTAATCGACCATACCTAATTATTGGAATATTGGACCCAGCCAGAGAAAAATGAATGGATTTCCATCCAAAATGTGTCTATATTTTGAATAAACTGATCGCATCACATGAGGTCAGCCACAGGTCAGCTAAAGTCGCGACTTCTGTCGCCATCCCTGCTATACGAGTGGATGGAGTATTCGAAAACAGCCAACGGGCCACGGGGCGCGAGTGACCTATAACCCTTCGCCATATATCCATTGTGATGAAAATTTGAGTACGTCTACTTTATGAGAATTATATTCAGTGAATGACGAAAAAATTACGCGTGAATATTGGAGTTATGCGTGTAAGGTCGCCGTCTACTCTTTACTCTTTGATTTCGTAGTCGTTAACTCTTTGATCCTAACCATAAATTGTACCCGAAACGAGCTCTTTGGGAACAATTACTTCTACCCTCTCCCAGTTCGGCCTCATTCCGTCTCGACTTTGCATCTCTATGCGACCTCGGCACGTGACCCGGCAGTGCCGCGGGCTCCGGCCGGTCGTTTGGCCGGCCCGGTCAGTCTCTGTTCGGCGGCCGGGGCGGGTAGCGCGGCAGCGCCGCGACCGAGTGCCGCCGCGGGTTCCGTGTCAAAGGGTCACGTGATTTTGCCAGCTTGTGTCACCGTGATTCACGTGACCTCGTCCATCTGTGTCACCGTGAGTCACGTGATCTGTCGTCATGTGTCGGCGACTGCTGCAACTGGTAGCGACGTCTTGCACGGAGCAGCGGCGCCGACTGCTCAGACGCCGCCTTTCCTACGTCGTCATCATCTGTAACTTCTTCCTGGGCGGCTTCGAGTACGGCGTCATCTTCCCCACGGCCATGGACTATCTGGGCTCGCTGGGCGCCGAGGACGGCCGCGAGACGACCCTGTTTGGTCTGCTGATCGTCAGCTACGCCGCCGCGAACATCATCGGCGGGTATGTGGGCGGTCTGTGGGCCGACATGTTCGTCGAAACTCGTCCGCTGCTGGTTCTAGCCGCCCTGCCGCAAATCATCGGCAACGCGATGTACTTCTTCGCCGGCTCTCCGGTGACGATCATCGGCTCTCGCGCACTGTCTGGCCTGGGTTCGGGTGCCAACACGGCCATGCTGGCGGAGCTGACGCGCACCACCTCGCTAACACACCGTACCAGTGTCATCGGGGTCATCACGTTTTCGCGCCAGCTAGGCATCGTGTGCGGTCCGGCGGTGGGCGCCTACCTGACCAGGATGCCGGACCTCTTCAGACACCGCGTGACCCTGTTGAACGCTCCCGGCCTGCTGCTGATGCTCTGCTACCTGGGCTACATGGTGCTGCTGACACTGTTCTACTCCAACCTCACCGTGGATAAGGATGAGAGCGGCAGTGGTGTGCAGATGAGACGGCCGGCGCTGACACCGGTGGTGGAGGACGCAGCTGGAGTGGCCTCGGCGGAGATGGGGACGACGCCCGAGGGCCGGGTCTGCCCCGAATGCTCTGGCCAGCAAGCGATGCAAGAGAAGACCCGTCAGCGTCGGCTTGCCAGAGAAATTCCCAAGACTGCAGAGTCTACTCCGAACAAGAGACCGAGCTCGGCTCCGCAGACGGGTCCAACTCCACAGAACACGCCCGTGTCCCGAGGAAAACCGGGAGCCGCGGCGACCGAGGAGGGGACATCGCACACCCCGCAGCGGCCGCTGGTTCTCTCCCTGCCCCAGCCGAGTCCGAACCAGTGCAGTTCCTGGCCTCCCTACCGACCTCTCGCGGCGAGTAGTGAGGATGATAAGGACAGCGCCGATGCCACGACAGCCGCCTCAGGCAAACCTTCAGACTCCCTGGCGCCGAAGAATGCGCACCATACGAATGTGGTGTGGCCGCACACGCCCGACCACCAGCAGCCTTCCAGTCACTGCCCGCACGGAGACAAGTGCCCAGTACCGTTCGGCCCGTGTCGTCCGTCTCCCGTCTCCGGCCCGGCCGTCTCCCCGTCCCCGTCTGTCTCCGTGGTCCGCGAGTGGCGCGAGCTGCTCTGCTGGCCGATCGCTGCCCTCCTGCTCTGCAACTTCGCCGCCTACATGACGCAGACGTCGCTGGAAGCCCTGCTGCCGGCGCTAGTGGAAAGGGATCTTCACATGGAGATTGACGCTACCGGGAAGATTTTCATCGCCGGTGGTCTGGTGCAGTGCGCAGTGCTGTTGTGTATCTTCCTGACCCCGTTTCTGCCGTGCATGCACGACCAGCGACTGATCTCTGGCGGTCTTCTGGTGATGATTCTGGCTCACGTTCAGATACTGGTGACGATCTGCATGTTGCGTGACTCTGCGGTGGACGCCGATGGCGGCTCGGCTGGCTGGTACTCTCCCTCGTGGGACTGGGGCGCCGCCTCGCCATCACCGCTGCCACCCAGGGACCAGCGCTGGTTCTGGGTCGTGCTGGTCGGCAGCGGCGTGCAGTTCTTCGGCTACCCGCTGGTCAACTCTGTGGTGACGTCGTTCATGTCCAAGATGCTGTCTCGCGGCGCTCAGGGGGTCGGTGCGGCCGGACTACGACTGTCCATGTGCATAGGTCTGATGCTGGGCCCGGTGTGGGGTAGCGGCATGCTGCACTACGAGCTACCACTTCTGCTGCTGCCGCTCGGGATCCTGCTCTGCTCTCTGATCCTGTTCTACTGGTTCGAGAGATGCGGCGGGTTCAGAGAGCGGATGCGAAAGGCGGCGGTTGTAGATACGGTCACCCCGCGGGTCTGTGCCGCCCCTCGCCGGCTGCGGACCATCAGCGCCCTTAGCCAGATCAGAGAGGTGGCCGCCGACGGCGCGAGCGACGACCCCCAGGGTGCAGCGACCGGCGAATCCAGCGGCACCGACAGGCGCTAGATGTTTCAGAGACAGGGGAAAAACCTTGACAACAGACCAATCGGTCGTCTGTTTAATGTATCGTCACTAAAGCATATTTGCTGCTGTTATACATTATTTGTTATATATGAAATCGTTAGTCAATTCTGCGGAATTTGTGTCCAACAATAAATGAATGCGAACATGGGATTTTTTTTGTTATGCTGAGAGAATCTGAACCTCCCATCAACCACGATTGCCATATAATGCAATTTGCTCACTTACGCCAAATTCGAAAGTTTTAGAACAGCCAACACGGGCTTTTCATGCGCAGTGAGGAAACGTAAAAAGTGTCTGGCGAGCAACCCACCATTACCCGCAAAAGGGGAAGCTTAACGCAACCGATGCTCTAGGGTGATGGAAGTATTGCTGAGCACCGAACGATACATACGCGTCAAAAATCTTTAAATGATACTGTAAAACATACTTTTATGTTTAGTAGTCTTAGGGCGCTAATTCCCCGGGCTAACTTTGCGCCTGGTTCCCGTGACATGCATTTTGCGAACGATAGACGATCTACCACGTCTGCCTGTAGCAATGCGCTATCATTATTTCGTTGAACCAGTAACGTTCAGGCGTTGAGTTTCCACGCAAGTTTATCATTAGCCATCTACAATTGTTAGTGAGTCCATCCATTCGTCGTACCCAACCCAACAGCACTCGTTCGAGACCAGTTGTATATTTCGATCACCGGCGGACGAAAGTTGAAAAAAGCACTTAACAACTAACGCAATAAAAACGATTTAGGAGACCAACAGACACCGTTCTGTGTTCGATACGTCATTGGTTCGGTTACTGGAAAGAAGAAAAAGGACGGCCTGTGCTGCCTGATTCTAACCACAAGAAACTCGCACTTATCTGCTACCACGTAGCACAATAAAACATACACGGTTATGAGCAAATCGAATAAAGCGTTGGTGTGGCATCGCACAACATAATCGACCCTCTGTGGTGTTCTGTTACGGACTGGTGTCCCTCTTTCGTTCCGTACCGTACGAGTGTGCCAGTGTCACCTAGCGGCAGTTCTGTTAACTGCAGGTTGTGGGGGTGGCGCTGAGGGCGAGTGACGTGTCCGTAGGCCGGCCGGCGGGGCAGTCGGTTGGCGACGGTGGTCACGGATGGTGACGGTCTGTGCCGTGCGCGTTTTGAGTTCTTCCTTTTAACCGGACTGTATATATCGCGTGGGTGGTGCAATACACTACAGTGGCGACGAGGAACTGAAATCCTTCTGCGCTAAGTGATAACAGTGATCGCCGCGATGGACTGTTTGCGTGCGCCAGCGCCATTTCTAGTGGCGCCAGGACGGCCGACCACGCCCTGGTCCCAGTGGCTTGGCGAGTTCAGGATTTTCGCCGTGGCGAGTGGTTGGGACGAGTGGACTGTTCAGCGACGAGAGGCCCTCCTATTACACTGTGTGGGACAGGAGGCGCGGCGTCTCTATTTCGCGGCGGCGAAACCGGCGCAGGGCGTGGCACCGGGAGCGCAGGAGGCGGCGATTCCGGCGCAGGAGGAAGATGGCGTCAAGGAGGAAGGACAACCGACTGCAGCAGTCGACCCGGTGGCTGCGATCTCTGCAGTGTTTCAGCGGCTGTTTCCGGAGACACGAGCGACTCATTCCGAGAGAATGCTGTTCCGGCGGTGTTACCAGCTGGACAGGTCTCCAGCGGTGTACCTCACTGAGCTGCAGGACCTGAGTTCCAGGTGCGCCTTCGGCGATCTCCGGGAGCAGCTGACCTGTGAGCAGTTCATCGAGGGCTGCAGGGACGACAGGTTGAGGGAGCGGCTGTGTCGGGAGCCAGCTCTGACTGTGTTGCACATCCTCGAGGTGGCTGAGGAGCTGGAGGTGGCTGCTGAGCGACAGCGGCTGGTGGGTGGAGGTGGAGCTACCCGTGCATCAACCTCTTCCCCGGCTCAGCTGGAGATAGCCGCAGTGACTGCTCCCAGGAAGGGGGTCTCGCCGTGCTCCAGCTGTGGCGGTCCCCACCGGACTGCTGATCCCTGCTGTCCAGCTCGTTGGAGAAGGTGTCACAACTGCCAGCAGAAGGGCCACTACGCCAGATTCTGCAAGGAACCACCTAAGAAGACGAAGCAGACCAAGAGGAAGCCAGTAAGGACCGTTGAAGTGCTGGCCGTGACGGATGACGACCGGAAGAACCTGTGGACCGAGCTGCGGGTGGACCAGCAGCCACTGCGGATGCTGGCTGACACTGGCTCGGCCGTGAGCATCCTGCCGTTGTCCATCTACAGGAAGCAGTTCCGCCATCTGCCCCTCCTGCCCACTGCAGTGCGCCTGGAGGCCTACGGAGGGTCATCGCTGCTAGTGCAGGGGGTGGTGCAGGTGACGGTGCAGGCGGAGAACGGCAACAGCTCCCAAGTTTCACTGTATGTGGTAGACGCTGGCGTGCCCCTGCTGGGCAGAGATCTGCAGGAGAAGCTGAAGTTGTCCGTGATTCACGGGGCGACTGTGTGTGCTATCAAGGAGGAGCAGATGCCAGAGGAGCTGCCGAGTCTCACTGGGTTCGTGCACAGGGTGAGACTGAAGACGGAGGTCAACCCAGTACAGCAGCGGCTGAGACCTCTACCGTACGCCGTGAGGGAAGAGGTGCGGGATCATCTGTTGAAGTTGCAACAGGCTGGAGTCATCGAACCAGTCGACGCATCCCCATGGATCTCCCCCATAGTGGTGTCCAGACGGCGGAACGGGAAACTGAGGCTGTGTGTGGATCTTCGAGAGGTCAACAAGGCGGTGGAAGCCAGCGGACATCCACTCCCCGACATGCAGGACATGTTGGAACAGCTTCAGGGTGCAACCATCTTCAGCAGCCTCGATATGAAGTCAGCATACCATCAGCTGGATCTGCATCCGGATTCAAGGTCGCTGACGACGTTCATCACCCATCAGGGACTGATGAGATACAGGAGGTGTCCCTATGGGCTGAAGAGTCTGCCACAGGCGTTCCAGAAGGTAATGGAAGCCATCCTTCGTGGTCTGGAAGGAGTGCAGGTGTACCTAGATGACGTCATCATCTACGCTGCGACCTCCAACCAGCACGAGAGGCGGCTGACGGCTGTGCTGAAGAGGCTCAGGGAGCACCGGATCACGCTCAACATCGAGAAGTGCAAGCTGAGGAGAGAGCAAGTGGAGTTTCTGGGGTTCATCATCTCCAAGCAGGGGGTGGCAGTGAACCCAGACCGCATCAAGGCTCTCCGAGAACTGCGAGCACCTGCTAGCCTGAAGGACCTGCAGGCCATGCTTGGCCTGTTCGGCTTCTACAGCCGATTCGTGCCGGCGTACAGCACGCTGGTGGAGCCACTGCGGTGCCTGCTGAGGAAGGGGGCGCCACCCTTCCAGTGGACTGGCGAACTTCAGGCGGTGATGGACGACGTCCGGCGGCGGATCCTGGACAGCAGAGCGCTGGCCATGTACGACCCAACGCTGCCGACCCGAGTCACCACAGACGCCAGTGACGTGGGATTGGGGGCCGTGCTCTCCCAAACTCACCCTGAGGGAGAGAGAGTGGTGAGTTTTGCGTCATGCAGTCTCACCCCGGCTCAAAGAAGATACAATGTCACGGAGAGAGAGGCCCTGGCATGTGTGTGGGCCGTGGAAAAGTGGCGGAAGTATCTCTGGGGTAGGCCGTTTTGCCTACGAGTCGATCACGCGGCTCTCCAGACGCTGATGACGTCACCGGGGGTGGGCCGAGCCGGCCTACGGGTGGCACGGTGGGCGTCACGTCTCATGGCATACGACTTCACCGTGGAGCATGTCAGAGGCGGTGACAACCCAGCTGATGGCCTCTCACGACTGCCAGGAGCAGAGGAAGGCGAACTGGATGATGATGTCGTGGCGGTGGCGGCAGTGACTGCCCAGCTCGGAGCAGTGCGGCGGGACGAGCTGCTGGAAGCGACACAGACTGACCCAGTGCTGTGCCAGCTGGTGCAGCAGATCCCACGGCGGTGGCCGCGACGGCGCCGCGACTGCCCGGCAGAGCTGCAGCCCTTCTACAACTGCCGAGAGGAGCTCAGCCTAGTGGGAGACCTGGTCGTCCGCGGTCAGCGGGTGATCGTGCCGGCGGCGCTGCGGACGAGGATGGTGTCCCTGGCTCACGAAGGACATCAAGGGATCGTCCGAAGTAAGCAGCGGGCTCGTGACATCTACTGGTGGCCCAAGATGGACACGGACATAGAAGAGGCGGTGAGAAACTGCGACGTGTGTGCCGACGTGGACAAATCGGCTCGGACTCGCAGTGCGCCGCTACACCCTGTGCCGCTGCCAGGAGCGGCATGGGAGAAGGTGGGCGTGGATTTTATCGGCCCAATGGAAGCGCGCCGCCAGCACCGATACGCGGTAGTGCTGGTAGACTACTTTTCCAAATGGATAGAAGTCGGCTTCTGCACAGAACCCAGCACGGAGGCGGTGGTGCAGTTTCTGGAGACGTTAGCATCTCGAGAAGGTTACCCGAAGGAGCTGGTGTCCGACAACGGGACACACTTCACCTCAGCAGCGTTCACAGACTACCTGAGGAGTGTCGGCACGCGCCACATCCGGGTCACGCCGTACCACCCTGCCGGGTCAGGTGCGGTGGAGCGTGCGAATCGCACAGTGAAAAGTGCTCTCCAGGCGGCGGACCGGAGCGGCGAAGATCGAGCGTCTTACCTGCAGAAGTTTCTGCAGACGTACAGGAGCACGCCTCACGCCACGACGGGGCTGAGTCCAGCCGAGCTCCTGCACGGACGGAAGCTGAGGACACGTCTGCACGCGGCGGCTCTTCCCACGGAAGAACCGCAAGATCGTGAGCTGCGAGACAGAGTGCAGAAGAGGCAGAAGAAGCAGAAGAGGTACGCTGACGCGCGGCGTGCAGCTGAGACACCACGGTTCCAGGTCGGCGACTGGGTCCGGTGCCGGCTGGTGCCGCGTCCCAAGAAGGGACGGCCACGGTACTCCGAGCCGAGACGGGTGGAGTCTCGCCTGGGACCAGTCAGCTACAGGCTAGATGACGGCTCCCGGATCCACGCAGAGCGGCTGACGACAGCTCGGGCGCCGCAGCAGTCTCAGGCTGAGCTGCACGTGGGTCAGAGCGGCCAGCCGGGGGCTGGTCAGCGGAGTGCGGTGTCTCCGACGTCTGTGCCTCGCCGCGGGGAGCGGCTGGAGGCCGACGACTGGCGGCACGCGGAGGATGGCGTGCCACTGGAGGACGGACAGGCTGTGTCACTGGGGGTCGGCCGGCGGCACACCGAGGCCAGCCGGGGTCCCGCGGAGGACGGCGTGGCTGTGTCACCGGAAGACGCAGAGGACGCTCGGGAGCGGGAGGCGTCACCACCTCCGGCGACGGAGCGGCAGGCAGAGCAACAAGACGCTGGCGTACTGCTGTCGCCGCGCGAGGCAGCGAGCGGTGCCGGGCTGGTGGCGGTCGAACCTGCTCTCCAGCCGGGCGCGAGAGTGAACTCCGGGACGCAGCCGGTGAGGAGGTCCCAGCGTACGAGACGTGCGCCAAATAGACTCTAACTTTTTCCAGGGGGGAAGAATGTGGTGTTCTGTTACGGACTGGTGTCCCTCTTTCGTTCCGTACCGTACGAGTGTGCCAGTGTCACCTAGCGGCAGTTCTGTTAACTGCAGGTTGTGGGGGTGGCGCTGAGGGCGAGTGACGTGTCCGTAGGCCGGCCGGCGGGGCAGTCGGTTGGCGACGGTGGTCACGGATGGTGACGGTCTGTGCCGTGCGCGTTTTGAGTTCTTCCTTTTAACCGGACTGTATATATCGCGTGGGTGGTGCAATACACTACACCCTCCAAGTCGCACATTTCCGCTCCTAACGTTCTCCCTCGGTTCGATACACTAAAAGGTGCCATCAACGACCCATTGGGGCACAACAAGCCAAAACACTCACATAAGGACCGAGCGAATTCACAACCTAGGCTAGTCTCGTGTTACCACACCGGAGAAATGCTCCTAGCTGCCACGATTACTTCTACAACTAGCATCGGTATACACCTTAAAGGGACCCTCCCACCTTCAAAAAAGTTTATGAATTGGCATGAAAGTGATGTCGCTCGGTTCAGAAAGAGCGAAAACGAATAGCTACCAAATTTCACCAAAAAATATTCACCGGTTTTCAAGATATTAGACTTTTACTTTTGTTTACTTTTTTGGGATCTCCGCTGTTTCTAGCGACTTCATTTTAGAAGTGCGGCGTTTGCGGCAGATGTTGCGCGCAAATAGCATATACCACCGCGTGCTACAAAACGTTTTAGTCAAACATTTAAAAATCGTTAGATATTTGCGCTGACGTCACACATTCAGAGGGGTATTCCTAAGCATCAGCCCCTCTGAATCAAAATGCTGCAATTTTGAAATTCAATATTTCCGATTTAAGGCATTTCTCGATGTTGTGAGTGCCGAAACCGGTAATTGTGAGCCAGGGACCCCATTTTGGCTATCTCAACTCAAATCTAATGTTAAGGTGGGAGGGTCCCTTTAAGGACGCCTATCTAGTGCCTACCTACAGGGTACATTGCACCAAACGTTCCCTCGTAAGGGTAAGGTGAAACAAGTAGGCCTTTCTTTCATGCGGTAAATTTCGGCTCTAGCAGATTATCTACCTCAGCTCAGGTCTTTAACTCGCTACCGAGATAGACATTAGGAAAACCGGACGGGTCATCAACCAAGCACACTGCACATCAAGATGAAATTCGGCAGCTTTTTCTCGACTAGGGTCACAACGCAAGACCACCTTGACAAGGCGACAACGATCCACCTCGCTTTCGGGTTCAAAATTCAAACCACACTTACTACAGCCGCACAACACAAAAACTGAGCGTACACTCACGCAGAGTAAGCTAGCTTCTACCTACTGGAGTTCCACTCATACTAGCGACCACCACGCAAACTGTCTCGGAGTGATGACAGCCGCGTGGCCACTCGGGGAAAATTGTGACCCACATATCCTATCGGCAGTTGCCAGAAGGCTCTCAATAAACGGGAACGTGCTCCAGAGAGTGAGGACATGATGCATCTCGTTAGCGACCGACGCCAGAATGTGGTGGCGGTGTTTTCAGACTGCAAAAGAAGGGGAGAAGCGATGAGAAAACGAAAAAAGTTCGCGCTGCTTTTTATAAGTGAGCATCCTATTCAATCGTATGACACCGAGTTTATAACATTCCTTTTTCAAACGTTAAAATATAGCTGCCTAATAAATAGGTAGCTGCCAATGTTGCCTTGGAAAAGAAGAGAAAAAATAAGTAACAAATAAAAGAGGATTTCTTCTAGGTATGCATTCAAAAACCAAACCACCGTTCTAGTTACGGAGCGAGCGAAGCGAGCGTAGTCTTTCCTTAGATTAAAGGGACTGTCCCACCTTAACATTAGATTTGAGTTGAGATAGCCATCTTGATGGACGTTCTTTGAAAATCAGTGCCGTGAAAACCGTTTCTCCAGCAATTACTTCATCGCAAAGAAATTTGAGTTTGATTTTGACATCTGTGCAAATAAGTGCCACAATGTATTGGTATAGGCACTTAAATCTGATGACGTCATCAGGCTTTCGAACGTCCGTTAAATGTTTGACTAAAACGTTTTGTAGCACGCGGTGGTATATGCTGCGTTGCGCGCAACAAATGCCGCACTTTTAAATAAAGTCGCTAGGAACAGCGGAGATCCCAAAAAGTAAACAAAAGTAAAAGTCGTAATATCTTGAAAACCGGTGAATATTTTTCGGTGAAATTTGGTAGATATTCGTTTTCGCTCTTTCTGAACCGAGCGACATCACTTTCATGCCAATTCATAAACTTTTTTAAAGGTGGGAGGGTCCCTTTAACGGAAATTTCTGAGTATGAGCGGCCGGCCGGCCGGCCGGCCGGCCGGCCGTGGTCACGCTTTTGCGAGGCTTATATCTCAGCAACCACTTGACCGATTTACATGCGGAAATTTTTGTAGGGTAGCTTCATTCCTTCTACCAAGTATTGGACTATTCCCGATGCATGTGGGTGACCCCTTATGCACGTGCCACGTGCAAAACGAAGAGGTGTCACTTTTGTAATTGTTGCAATATCTCGGTAACTACTTGGCCGATTGCGCTGAAAGTTGGCATGTAGGTAGGCACCCACTATGCAATGCATATCCATGTGCCAGGGTTGAGGTGCTGCTGCACGTGCGCACGTGCAGGGGTCGATTCCAGATCTCGAGAACGGCTGGACCGATGGCGCTCAAATTTGGTACATGGTTAGGGACCGGTTAGTAGGGTGCCGTGCAAAAGTCAGTTGGGACCCATTTTGCACGTGCGCACGTGCAGGGTGCCGCTTCCAGATCTCAAGAACGGCTGGGCCGATTGTGCTCAAATTTGGCACATCGCTAGAGACCGGCTAGTAGGGTGCCGTGCACAACTCAGTTGGAGGTACCCCCTCGTAATTTCGCACGTGCAAGGCTCACCCTCTCGCTCGCTCCGTTAGTCGCCCCAAAAGGCGTTATACTGGTTGGTATTTTGTTGGTATCATAAGCCCTCACTAATTACGGAGCGAGCGAAGCGAGCGTAGTCTTTCCTTAGATTAACGGAAATTTCTGAGTATGAGCGGCCGGCCGGCCGGCCGGCCGTGGTCACGCTTTTGCGACGCTTATATCTCAGCAACCACTTGACCGATTTACACGCGGTAATTTTTGTAGGGTAGCTTCATTCCTTCTACCAAGTATTGGACTATTCCCGATGCATGTGGGTGACCCCTTATGCACGTGCCACGTGCAAAACGAAGAGGTGTCACTTTTGTAATTGTTGCAATATCTCGGTAACTACTTGGCCGATTGCGCTGAAAGTTGGCATATAGCTAGGCACCCACTAGGCAATGCATATCCATGTGCCAGAGTTGGGGTGCTGCTGCACGTGCGCACGTGCAGGGGTCGATTCCAGATCTCGAGAACGGCTGGACCGATGGCGCTCAAATTTGGTACATGGTTAGGGACCGGTTAGTAGGGTGCAGTGCAAAAGTCAGTTGGGACCCATTTTGCACGTGCGCACGTGCAGGGTGCCGCTTCCAGATCTCGAGAACGGCTGGGCCGATTGTGCTCAAATTTGGCACATCGCTAGAGACCGGTTAGTAGGGTGCCGTGCACAAGTCAGCTGGAGATACCCCCTCGAAATTTCGCACGTGCAAGGCTCACCCTCTCGCTCGCTCCGTTAGTCGCCCCAAAAGGCGTTATACTGGTAACATAACCCCTGGTATGTTCTACGCTTGTCTCAGTCTCTGTCCCACCACTCTCCGCCCCTTCTCATCCAACCTTGCCTCCTCTCTTCGTTCCGTTCAGTACTGCTGCCCCGCCCCTGTCCTCACCACACCCCAGTCTATCCCTCTCCCAGTCTCAGCCTCACCTCTGCGCTCAACACTGCAACCGCCTGCCCCCCCCCCCCGCCCCCGCCCACACCCTGCCCATTCTAGCATCTCCAGTCTCACCTCTGCATTCAGTACTGCTGCCGCCTGCGAGCCGAGCGCTGCTTGTCAAAGCGCATCTCCATCTCCTCGAGAACGCGCGGCGTGTAGCGAACCACCAGTTTCACTGTGTGCTGGGCGGCTTTGAGCAGCTCCACAGCCTTCTCGTGGTGTTCGCCCTCCACCGAGACGCCATTCACCGAGAGCAGCTGGTCGCCGCGCTTCAGACCGCCGTGCCGATCGGCCACGCCGCCCGGGATAATGCGACTGATGTAGATGGGAGAGTTCTGCTCCTTGCCGCCCATGACGTTGAAGCCGAGACCCTCGTCGGTCTTGGGAAGCTGGATGACACGAGGGTGCGCGTGGCCCTCTGAGGCGGCGAACGCGGCCACTGTCGCCTGCAGGGATTAGGAGAGGATGTCAAATCCACAATGAACTTTAGCCCAACAATGAGACACAAAACGATTCTTTATGTAAGTACGGAACACCGGACACGCATGTCTTAAACCAGGCATCGTGATTCTGCTATTGGTCTTGAAACCACTGCGGTGGAATTACCCGATGGAATTGGAGTTACCGCTCAAAAATGACCAATCGTGTGCACACCGCTTGCGGAAACCACGACCCGTCACGAAACCGATCAAGCACTAAGATATATAAATAGAAGGAAACCCTATCTCCCAAGGCCACTCAACCAGCAGCGGCCATATACATTGCATGCACAAAAAACTGATGCAATTCCACAACCTACCTCTTTTAATGACACTAAGCCCGAAACAAAACACGAGATGAGCTGTAAAACAGTGAGTATGACGCGTCATTCCGCTCATCATTGCACAAATCGCAGTACGGCCCGCAGAAGAAGCTTACCTTGGCCGTGGCAGAAGCCCGTACGTCGGGCGAGCCGGACAGGTCGACCGTCTCGTACACGTGTTCGTACACGTCGCGGACAGCATTGAAGAAGTCTGATTGGAGAACCTTCTGCAGGGCGGCCAGCTTGGCCGTCGGCACCTCGCCCGCTGAAGGGCAGATGAATCAGCAGGGTTAGATAACACTATTGGATAAGCAGTTCACCCTGCAGGGACGTGTTCATCAGTAAAAGCACACATTCGAGAATAATCAATAAGATGGCTCCATTATTTTGAACTAATGAAATATAAGTTGTCTTTCAGATTTCAGAGTAGGACGTTCAAATGAAGCAGTCAAGTTTCAATGTTAACAGGGCAGCTAATGAATTGGTAGAATGACCTAAAATAGCTTTATTTGATGACAGGTATTTTAGATAAACCTATTTGATTTACTTACTTTTCTGAAGTTTGTCAAGAAGCTCTATAGCCCTCTTCACATCTGAAATAGAAAATTGGTAAATGTTGACAAAAAAAAAAACAAAATACAAAAACAAAAACAATCACTTTCCTCTTCCTTTAATAGTATCATTTGAAACTCAGCCATGCCAGCTATGGTGATAGAATTTGCCACAAGACATCTAATTGTTAATAGATAAGTCTCAATGAAGCATGAGCCCATGATATGTTACCCAACCTGATTCAGCAATAACCAAGAGTTCACCCTTTTGCATGGTCTTATCAGTAACAACAAATGACATCTAATCAACAAAATTCAGACTGAAACAGAAAGAACCATGACAAACAGCAACTAGTTTTATTCCTATAAAAACAGCCCAAATTTGGTGCCATTATTAATGTTATTCTCCTATTATTCATGCTATCTTTGCCTATGTACAAGAAGATGAAGAGCAAAGCTACACTGACACTCACCTCTTTGGAGAGTCAGGGGCTCTGTTACTGCTGCCATCTTTTCAGTTGAATTTCAGAAGCACAGATGAGGACTGAAAGGTAGACAAAGAATTTATGGAGCACAACATGGCTATTCACAAAATATTGTGCATGCACTGCACATATTTATCAAGTTAGCACACATTTTCAGTTCTGAACAAGCTTTACAGAGCTGAAATATTGGTCCTGATATCACTGCTCAGTGCTCAGTGTCCAGTGAACAATAGCATAGAATAATGCCAGAGAATATCCATACAAAATGAAAAATGGAAAATAAAAGATGACCAAAGGGGAAGAGTGAGACTGGAACACATCTTACAGGCATCAGCTTATGATCCATACGTCTTGGGTTAGAACTTTGAGCATAGTTATATCTATGACTGAATAATCTTAGGTTTAATTTGTGAATGATCACTGTGTTTCATTGGTTTAAAAGATCTTTATTTTGAGTTATTTCAAGTCCCACAAAAGTGTGGAATGATTTAGTTAGAAAAAAACTAAATGCTTTATGAATCTACCTAAACCGTGCAAAAGTGGTCTGAATTTAACACATCCAGGCACTGTGGACAATTTTAAACCCTGAAATTCACCCCGGTCCTGGGCCATGTATGATGTATTGTATTGTACTTATCGTGGGACGTGGCAAGCCGATCCATCCGAAAATGGCTATTATTGGATGTAACAACCTATGCGACCTTACGGTCACAGCCGACATGGTCAAACACAAGTTGATGCGACTCAAGAGCTCTAGTTCCCCAGGGCCAGACAGAATCCACCCTAGGGTCTTGGTCGAGGCTGCTGCTCAGCTGGCGGTCCCACTCTCCATCATCTACAACAAGTCCATCCAGTCTGGCTGTCTTCCAGACGATTGGAAGCTTGGCATCGTAGTACCTATTCTGAAGAAGGGGGACAGGCTGGACCCAGGCAATTATCGCCCAGTGAGCTTGACTGCAATTCCTTGCAAGGTACTTGAATCCCTGATTCGAGATCATCTCATGACTCACCTGGAAGAAGCCAACCTCCTATCAAACCACCAGCACGGCTTCAGACCACAGCGATCCTGCATGACCCAGCTTCTTGAAGTGCTGGATGAGTGGACCAAGTGCATAGAAAATGGCGAACCAGTTGACGCGGTGTACCTCGACTTCAGAAAGGCCTTTGACTCGGTGCCACACCTGAGACTTCTGAATAAACTCGAGCGATACGGGATCACAGGTAGGGTAAAGGGCTGGATTGCCTCCTTCTTGTCAGACCGGCGTCAACAGGTGGTGATCAGAGGACACTGCTCGCCTTGGGAGACTGTGACCAGTGGGGTTCCTCAAGGGTCAGTCCTCGGGCCGATGCTGTTCATCATCTTTATCAATGACTTACCCGAATCCGTGCAGAGCTCCATCAAGGTCTTTGCAGATGATACCAAAATCTTCGGAACACCATCGTCCTCTGGAACAAGCTTAATCCAGCGAGACATTGAGGAAGTGGCCAAGTGGTCCGAGAAGTGGCAACTGCCTTTCAACGAATCGAAGTGCAAAGTCCTTCATCTCGGCCCTAGGAATCCTGGGCGCTCATACATCATGAATGGTCTTCAGCTGAAGACGGTTGAAGTAGAGAAGGACCTGGGGGTTCAGCTGGACTCTGACCTGAAGTTTCGTAAGCAGGCCGCGTCTGCAGCTGCAAAGGGCAACCAAATGCTCGCACTGATAAGAAGATCGTTCAGCTGCATTGATGCGACTACCCTGCCGATCCTCTTCAAAACGCTGGTACGACCCCATCTAGAATATGGGAACCTCATCTGGGGGCCCTTCAACCGAGCTGATCAGAGGCTGATTGAACGAGTGCAGCGGAGAGCAACCAAACTGGTCCGAGAGCTGAGACACTTGCCCTATCAGGAACGCCTCCGGCGCCTCAAGCTCCCATCAATGTACCACCGAAGACGGAGAGGAGACGTAATCGCCATCTTCCAGATTTTGACGGGTGGAGTTAACGTTCGGCCGGACCAGTTTTTCGAGCGGGCAGCGTCATCTGTCACCAGAGGACATGCTCTGAAGCTGTTGAAGCCTCAAGCTACTTCAAGACCCAGGAGAAACTCTCTATCGGTCCGCGCCATCAACGACTGGAACGCGCTTCCTGCCTCTGTGGTCCTCTCTACGTCTGTCAATCTCTTCAAAGCCCGTCTCGACTCTCACTGGGGTGATGCATCCTTTGACATCCCAGTCCAAGATTCATGACTGTCACTAGTAAGGAGCTCGATGAGATCAGATCCCTACAGGCCTTATAGGCCTCAAAATTCTGTATTGGTAAGGTAAGGTAAGGTAAGGTAACAACATCAATGGACAACACAGGGTAGGTACACAACTGTTATTCAAAGGAGTAACACTCGTTAATTGAAAAGTTCATACTAACTTCTGGTCACTACGGGCCATCAAATAACCAGATTTTGACCACAACGGAATCATGAACCAGAATTTTCCGGATTTTGAGCCTTTTAAAGTTTAAACAAATACGTGCTTAGCTCGGTGACATTAATGACCTTTGCTTTAAAACTAGAGAAGAGCTACAGATAGCCGACAAGCTTATCTGAAAGATATTAACATTAAACTCATAATCATAAAACACGCAAAGATGTTATGTAAATAAGCAACTGGTTCAAGGCGTTCAAGAAACAGGAAGCATTTGTCGATAGTAACAGATAAATGGTGGTATATGACCTAGACAGACGCAGCAAAACTTCAACACCTTATGAGCCCCCCCCCAAAAAAAATAACTTACAAAAAATATGCAATACTTTCTCACAACACTTCCATTCACACGCACAACGCCCACACAAACAATGCAATTCGTAAACGTAGAAAAGCGCCACAATTGAATAGAAACATCGCTTCCAAATCAAGCTGCCAAATACATCGTCGCAGCTTTTATCTGCAGGGCAGGGAAAACCTTTTTGCAAATGAGGCCCTCGCGGCTTGCCTGCCCACCATCCAGCTACATATATGAATCCTGGTAAAACTGAGTTCTGTGAATGGTCCCCAATTCGCACGTTCTTAGTAAATTAAACAATTTTTTCCGACACTAGGTAAAAGGCAGACGCAGTGGTAAGTGTTCGGCTTGGTTACTTGATTCCTTTGACGTTGCACTGGCCGACGTAGTAGGTACACGATACGATGATTGATGAATCAAGAAAAGTGGAAGAATATCGGCTATCGCCTGCAGTGCTCGTTAGTTGAAAGCCTCTGATAGCGAAACATTTCAAAATATATTTGCTAAAATCGTGATGTTTTAAAATACGTTGCGACATGCATGCCTCGAGACGAACAGTATTTGGGAATGTCCAGCAGACAAAACTTTTCAACCGTTTTCAGCATTACCTCATCCCGTTACCACAGTTAACCTCACAGTAATGCGCCAATCAACTCGGGCGTCGGTCCAAATGATCACATCAACTGCCGGAGCACGGTCACTGAGACTCATGTCGTTCGCATTTCGGCATTTCGTTCCCGCGGCGTTCTACAATCACATCGTTTCTAAAGTTCATGGCGTCTGCGAATTCAGTAGTTTTGAACCATCCCACCCCACCCGCTCAGCATCCTGGCATTTAATCACTGATGCTGAACCGCCTGCCTAAAACCAGGCGTCTCAGCCTCCGCCAGTAGCCAACGCGTCTAGCGTCCTCCTAGCGCTTGTGCTCGTCAATTTGACGAAGTAGCTCGTCGGCGTCGTCACCGGTTTTGACTCGAATGAGGAGCGGCACGGGCGACGACTCGGCCTCCTTCTTCTTGGGGTCCAGCGGCGGGTTCGGCACGCACGCCATCATCACGTTGTTCTTGCCCATCCGCTGAGTGGGGATCGAACTGGAGGGAGAAGATGACAGTCAGCTGGTCGTCCGGTACATTGATCCAAAGCTACACAGCGACAGAAGCCGAAGTGTCGACATTTATGGCTACGCTAGTACGTTGGTTACGTCACTATCTCACGTACCATACCCATTACCCAACACCATCGGCCCTTTCAGAATGCCAAAATTGATGCATTTGAAGAAAATGATAGTCAGAGAAAAAGGCAACTCACAAAATGCTTGCATTATACTCATCCGCAAAAACTAGTCCTCAGTTGTAGCCATGAAAAGCGATGAGTGAACGTTAAAAAGAATACCAAGCATGCGCCGTTGGTCGCACTTACTTGCTGAGTTTGATATTGAGCAGGATGTTCCCGAGGTTGGTGTCGGCACGGATCAAACACTGGTACTTGTCGTCCGAGCACGGCTTCAGGTACAGCATTCCCACACCCTTTTCCACAAACGACCCGTCCTTCTTGTAAAACAGCTTGCACCTAAAAGAGCAAAAATGCGAGATGAAAGTGAGTTGCAATAAAAAGTACGAACACTATAACAAGGAATGCCACTCAACGTTGAAACATAAATTAGCGAAGCATTGTAGAACTCAACAATGTGCAGCATTATAAGCTGGGAGCCACGAGTTTTTTTCACGCGCACTTTACGAACAGAGACGCATTGTGCTTCAAAGCTGGTTCAAATAAGCTAGTAAGACCCAGTTCGTTATCCACATGCCTCAGCCGAGCCCGGGAACTGGTAACGTACTTTTTTGAGTATATGGCGTCATCCTCCTTGACTGTGTTGACGACAGGCACCGGCGGTTCCTCTGATTCTTCTGCCTCCTCTGAAGACGTGGCCGGCGCTGCACCTCCGCCCTGGCTCCCCGACCTGGCACAGCACATATTAAAACCCCAGTCAAATAATGTAATAACAGCAAGAAATATGCATACGTGCATGCAGTGCATAAACAATTCTACAAAAATAAAGCTCAAACAAAAATTGCAAAATGTATGCAAGAATAAGCTCACAAACCAATTACCAAAAGACGTGAATGAATCGTAACTTTCAACTAGTTTTACACCAAATCTAGAGTTTGAGCACGACAAATGACTTACTGGAAGCCGAATGAGAAGCCTGCTGTGCTGGCGGGCGCCGCCGCAGCCGGAGAGGCGTCTGCTTTCTTCCCTGACGACGAGAGGCCGAAGCTGAACCCGGCGGAAGCGGCTGGCGCCCCACCCGCTCCTGCCAGCCCGGCCTTACCCTGCGGCAGGCCAAAGCTGAACCCACCGGCCGACGATCCACCCGTCCCGCCCGTATCCGCTGCCTTTCCAGCGCCGGTGCCGAAACTGAACCCAGTCGACTTGGGCGGCGAAGCAGCGTCAGCAGGTTTTGTTGTCCCCGAGCCAAAACTGAAACCTCCTCCGGTTGATGCTGAGACAGATGTGGTCTTTTCGGTCACTGCGCTGCTGGCCGCTCCGCCAGTAGTTGGGGTCGTCACCGGGCCGAAGCGTCGCTCGATACTCGCCAGGTGAGTCTCGTAGTCTTTGAACACGGGCGTCAGGATGCAGAGCGGGTTTTTATCGACATGTGTCTGGAGCCAGCTGAGCATGCTGCGGTTGAGCGCCTGCAGCTGACGGTGGTATTCAGAAGACCCGGAGCCGCCGGATGTTCCGGAGCGCAGCGGTGGACGAGTCAGCACCGGGGAGGACATGGTGGTCGGGGTGGACAGATCGCTACTGGAGACTTTGGCGGCCGGTGTGGAGGGCAGCGCGGCCGGAGAGAACGCCTTGGATGCCTCGGAGCCGGTCTTTTCGGCCGCCGGAGACGACTTAGCGGCGGTGGGAGACGACTTGGCTGCGGCTGCCAGAAAGCCGAACGGGTTGTCCGCGCCACCGGCCGGCTTGGCAGTCGGTGCCTTGAACCCGGAGAAGGCGGCGAACGGGCTGGGAGCGGCGCCCTGCGGGAAAACAGATTACGACATTAAACTATAACCGGGTTACTAAACCACTGGATTAGCTGGTGATATGTTAGATAAACACAAACAAAAACAGAAACAAACATTGCAATGTAGCCAGGAATAACGGAATCACGCGGTGCCCCAGCAGTCAGCACCCAGCAGCGGGGCCTACCGAGCTGTCGTCGGAGCGGTTCACCCTGCGGCGAGCCTTCTTGATGACACGCCCGCGGAGCACCTCTTCAGAGGCCGCCTGGAACTGTCCGGCGTCCTCCCCACCGCTGTCCTCGGCGTCCCAGTTATCGTGTGTCAGCTGCTTGTCTGCGCCGCGCTTGGACATCGCACTTCAGCCGGCGACCTGGGTGAGAGTGGACAGATTAGAATTATCGACCAGTAAAACTGGACTCCATGACTTTAGAGGAGCTTGGAGGAGCGACAGGAACGATTTTTTGAAACAAGAAGAGGTTAGAGGAGCTTGGAGGAGGTTGGAAGAGCCACGGGAACAGACCCATGGTGATGTAAGGTATGCTATGAGTCACGCTGTTGGCCCCATGAATCATGTAGCTTGTCCTTTGTTGTGACCAAAGCAGAGGCTAAGACAATAACCACTGGCAGACAGGCTAATTACTTTGAGGTCAGTGCAAATTTAGACTGGTCATTTTGGGGTTCAGTACAGATTTTCGGACTCAACCTCCATTGTTGTGGATTTTCCAGCTCTGTTTGAAGGGTTAGCGCCAATTTCGAACTTGGACTGGTGCACCTCATCAACCTGCATCCTGCTAGCCACACCTTGCAGCTTGCAGTATTGGCTGTTACAAGTCTTACTAGAAGGGTTAGCTATGATTAAAAGCTTTCTCTATCCACTGTTAAAAGTATCAACTAAAGGCATGCTACACTGCACGTTTTCTGCCAGTTTGCATGTTTTGCATAGCATTCTAGGAAAAAAATGATATTACAGCTTTGGGATGTTTTTATATAAACTTTTAGTTAATGTAAGTTATATTAACCTTAGGTAATATACAACTAATATAAAAGTGATGCGATGCTCATTTTAACTTTGTCTAGAACGATATTCGATATTACTCAAAGCACGCGTCGCAAACTCGCAAAAAACTTACACAGAAAATGCTTAGTGTAGCCACGGATCACCTAATCACCTAATTATGTGATCCGTGGTGTAGCCAGGCCTTATATGTCTCAGTGATGTAACTGATATTTAGCTGCTGTAAATAAATATTCCCTGCGTTCGGCATTCACAAAATGAGGGATAATTATCTAGGATCCCGATAATTATTTGGTATTGCAGGGACCATTGATGAAATTGAACACATTTTTAGATTGTTTTCGCTTTGTTAGGTAGGTAATGGCTCTCTTACTTGATGGCATATCAGTGGGGGAAACTGTGGTCAAATCTTCTATTTTTGGAAGCCTTCCATTTTTGGAAGGACCTTCCATAAATGGGTATGCATTTTCCAAAAATGGAAGGCTTCCAAAATTGGAAGGTCTAATCTCAGTGTTCCCAACTGTGATTCACATTCTTTGATTTAAGTTACGGCCTTTTTAAATGTGTAACATTAATAGTTGATTTTGCCATTTATGATCATTGATATAAGGAGAAGCAGCAGTGCTAGTGTTGGTAATACAGGCATGCTATGTCAATGTACATAGTGATATAATAGCATGGTGTCCTGGCGCACTGCTCTCTTTTTCTACTTCTAGAGGACACATAGAAATTCAGAAGAGAAAACAGCTGGTCAATAACCAACCAGGAGGAACACAGCTATAGCCCTGACAAAAAATGGTTTAAATTAAACTTACTATTCCTCATATAAATTGAAGATTCATGCTCCTTCGATAGAAAGTAACACGAAAAACGGCGCAGCAACGCCTATTTAATTCGTCCCATATTCCGGAAAAAACATTGAAAAATGACGAGACCTCCACCCAAATGTTTGGCAAAAGCCTTAAAAAATTGAAATCAACCACACAATATGCTAATAAATGCAGAAAACGGCAACAAATACAAGTTTTACTCGCCACTACACTCCCGAAACCGCCGCACTCTGTCCAGACAATTCCGCACTGTAAATAAAGTCGGCGGTATCGAACAAGCATGGCCCGTCACTAAAGTACTTTTAAGGATATTTACTTTTCGTTTTTGATGCTTTTTGCTTACAAAATGTTTGATAAAGTCTTATAAAACCATCGTTTGTCGGTAAATTTTTGTCAATTTTCCACGACTCATTACTTTGAAAAATTACCTAAAATACATCCACGCTAGGATTTAGGCATCCACGCTAGATTATGGACACTTCACTATGGCGAATAGAAAGCGACCAGGGGCGATAGTCGCATTTGCCTCATGTTCGGCGGAAATCGGGAAGTTCCAACATATGCGCAACATTTTCTATATTTGGGTACGATGACGTCGTCAGCGTACCCATTTTTGGAAGGTGCGTACCCATATATAGAAAATCCTTCCAAAAATGGAAGGCTTTCTAAAAATGGAAGATTTGACCACAGTTTCCCCGACTGATATGACCGCTGTGCAAGCCGCAAGGTGTCTGCCTAACACCAAATGATACAGGTACCTAATCCCAGAAAATTATCCCCAATTATCTGGATGCCGAATGCACGCACTGTTTGCCATAACAAGAAACACAAATTTCAATTGTGAAAGTGGCATTACCCTAATTCAAATTCAATATACCCTGATCCTGGCATTACCTACAAATTGCAGTGATAAATAGAGGCAGCGGTGGCCGGTGAAAGCAAGCAATTTTAACGAAAGTAGCACATGGCGAAAGGTTGAAATCTCTACAAAGCTCGGAAAAATGAAAGATATACTTGAAAACAAAATGATTAGGCACCTCGAAGATTCTCCACCTTCACGTCTTGCGCACACGCGCTTCACGCGCTTCAAAAGATAAGCCAGCTTTGAGGCTTTCGAAAGTCAACATAAACTGTGTGTGTAATGACGTCACTAGAATTTACTTGCTGGTAGCCAAAACGATATTTATCAGACTACATCAACATCTGGACTTATGGAATTCTACTGCACCTATTATTTTGTCTCAAATCAATTGTTATATGAATGGGATTGAAGTTTCTTACATCAGAAACATCCATTTTGAAAGCGCAGACAGCATTCGCCATTCTTCGGTACCGTTCAAAAGCTGATGACGTAATTGACACATCTCTTTTAACTTAAAGATTTGTTTATTGTTTACGCTCTTGTTTCCCCCGCTGGGGCTGATCTAAGTTAATACGTTTTCTTGTAAAAATTACAGAAGCTAGATGTAATGAATCAAATTATTTGTACTGAAACAATACTGGAGATAATTCTAAGCGCAAATTTTGCGTAGAAACTAGTTAAATTAGTAAATACAGAACCTGTTTCGTTGCGCTGCAAATGTCACAGTGGCGTCGTATTTGACATGCCAGCTCAATTTTCGAAGTTTTTGGATGAAATTGCACAATCAAATTTCTCTTAGCCTTTTCAAACACATACTTTGGACCTTCTTGAATCAAACTTATCTCCTATAATAATTTTAGCACTTACCTACGTTTGTTGTGCAGGTGGGGAGGAGCAAGTGCTGCATTAACCTGTTTTTATACGTTTTCATAGCGAAAACATCAGTTTTTAACCCAATTAAACATTTTTTAAAACCTTTTGTGCTCAAAAATTGTACTGACTGTCTTCATTTTCAAACTTATTCTCCTGGATACCTACCTGCCTTAAAAAGATATTTTTGCTCTCTGCCTACGCCCTACATCATTTATTTTATTTTTACAATAATATCTGAATTGGGACCTTAATGGCATCCCAGAATAACAACATTCCCTAAAAGATAAAGGAGACAAGAATGCTGGACTGGCATTGATGCCTTGAAAATGCTGGGCAAGTGGGTGCACCCACTTGGGCAGGCCTGAAATTGGAGGCTGTTCGGGGAGGTGGCCATGGGGCATGCAGCAGTGAGCATCCTTGAATTACCAAAAAAGCGATACAAGTTTTAAAACATATAGCTTACATAGTCTAATAATTTACAACTGACAAGAGTTTGAAATATCATTAAAAAGTGCCACAATTTGTGTCACATTCAGAAATTACATGCCCTCTCTTTACCTCCCCTGAATGTCCACCCTGAAATCAACCACCCAGGTTTTGTTCCAAGCTACCTAACTGCCACACTCTGCCTGCCTAATAATCTAATTTTAGGGCCTTGGCCACTGATTTATCACAATCTACTCTTCAGATTAAACACTGAACACATAATTTATTTGCAGTTTTGTCCTTTCAGCTAACAGCTCGGAGTTGACAGATTGAGTGATGTCTCTGGCCTCAAGAAGTAAAGTTATTCAAGCCTACAAAAATGTAAGTCATTGGCCTGTGATGTATTCAGTTTGATTTTGCTTTATTTTTAGATATGATTTAGTGACAAATTGTGACCGCAACTGACAACTGCATTGCCTTGATGGTATCCTTTTGAACTGAAATATATTTCCCTAATTAATATTGATCCTCTGCCCAAGTGCGAATATTGTAGCAAATACAGTCCATGACCCCAATGGGCTCACCTGATTTACCTTTTCTCAGCTGCTCCATTTGGGCAAGAATTATCCAAAGGGTTATGATTTCTTCCGGCAACGCCTGAAGTCCGCGTTCATGAAAAACAAGGATGTCACCGATCCTGCTCAGATCGAACAGCTGCTCTGCAAAGCCGAGTTCGTCTCTAAGGAGCTGGAGGCGCTCTACATGCTGCGGAAGTATCGCACTCTCAAGAAACGGTACTACGAAGACGCACCGCCCAAGAGTTCGACCTAATCTCATGTATTTGCGCTTGTTTTTCAAGCAGTACTCAACGTAACGCTGAATGTTTCAGCGTATATGGTACCGGCAGTAAATAACACAATGCAATGTCCAGCAGCATTGTTATCCCAAAGCAAGTGGTATAGTTGGTAATAATACTCGTTAAGTTTTAATTACAAAGGGACGTTTTGTACCCATGTTGTCGAGGGTTGTTTTCATGTGAATGTTTTATATAGAATAGCGCAAATGACTGTTCTTGCCAGGATACGAGGGGCGAGCTGTGTTTTGAGTACGTATGAATGGGCATGACTGGAAGCGCCTGCTGTATTTTCTTGGATGCGGCATTCTGGCGTCCTGGCGCAGCACAGAAACTGCATTTCACCGGGGCATCTGGTCGCCTGTACGCTCACAAGCTGTGCTCAAGCTGTTGAACACGTGATGTTCCATTATGAGTGCATGATCCACAATATATGGAATAAATATATTATTGGTAGAAAATTGTTATTTAAGCCATGTTAAATATTTCCAACAGCATATTTGACACGGAGCGGGCTAATCCTCGATGCTCGACTACGTCTTGGCGTGACAAAATAATCTGACTGAGACGCACCGTATCAAAGTATTTCTCTCTGTAGAACAGCGCGATTGCGCGACCTTCAGAGCACCTGTGTTATCAAACTCACCAGTCTGGACGGCGCGCAGTGGAGGCCCCATGTATTGGACATCTCGCAAAGGCACGGAGCTCATTCGCAGCACACACATTTCATTTGTACACAACACGAGCTACCGTAAATATAGTGTCTGGTTCGCTTTACATACAATCAGTCTCAGCGTGTAAACTACACACATTGCACCCATATAAATGCTGCACAGTGCACAATCACCGGTGGGTTTGACAGCGCCAGTGTCTGTATATCACCGGCGCTATCATGGAATATCGCATCTGTGGCGGCGGCGGCGCTGCCCCGTTCGCCGCCGTACTATTCGGAATGTCTGCTCGGTCCGTCAGGTCGAGATCCCGCCGAGTTCCCGACTAGCGGACCTCTGAGTGTCCGGTCCAGCGGATCTGTGAGTGCCCCGACCGGCGGATCCCACGGGTGGATCTCGCTGAGTGCCCCCGCTGTCCCAGAATGCCCTGTGCGGGTCATCCCGCGAGTACAGTGCCCAGACCAGCTGCCCACCGTCCGCTCACGGTAGAAACTCGACGTAGTTGTCTGGCAGCAGCCCCAACTGGCCATTCAGCGTGCCTTCTAGCCAGCCGGGCTCCCGGGAGGGACGGACTGCGGGGAGAGAACAGGGGGGAGGGTGAGGAGGCGAACTGAGACGGGTGGCGCTCCGTCATAATCGCCGGAACTTACACGATAAGTGCACATCATTGCTGGTAATAAGAAGGAACTAAAAAGTCGCCAAAGATGGAATGACAGAAATGTTGGGTAGCTGTTAAAATCACTTGCAAGTTCGGAAACTAACTAGTTTTTCACATGTCTTACCATTGGTGATGATTTGGTTCGGCTCAAACGATAGTTCTGACTCATTCTCTCCCACACAGGCATACAGCGTTCGAACTCGCCTGAAACGGACAGAGAGACAATATTAGTCAAGGGAATAGACCGTTGGATGTTTTGCTCAATGTTGCATCGTTCAATGGCATGACAATGACAACACGGCAGAATTGGTACGATTTATGCGGACAGTGTTTGTTCGAATCCTCGTGAATAAGAGCGAAAGGCAATGTTTCCTCGTTTTTTTTTTCCCGAAGCTACTGCCGAAAACCACTCGGTACGCCCGCTTCCTCTCCCGATAGAGTCCCCGACGTGTTCGATTTAATCGCACAACCCGTGCAACTCACCCGACTTTGTGATGACTGGGGGCGACCGAGCCGGACGGACCGCACGAGCTCACTGGTACAGACACCGACCTGGACACACAAACAAACGATGCGTCACGACGTCTTGCTATCATCCAATGAATCGACGATTTAATGCTGTAGTTAGGATACTTGCAAATTAACCAGAAAAAATGCATCCGTGTTACAAGGTGGCTTCTTGAAAAGTGAAAGGTGGCTTCTTCACGAAACAGGTATTCCAGCGGATAAAAACAACACCTAAGAAACAGGTATTCATAAGAATGACTACGCTACAGGTATATTCAGCGGAATTGGTTATTCTAAAGGCGCAAGCTTCTGCAGGGGGTGCCTTAATAAAGTAATCTTGGGGGTGCCTACGATATAATACTCACAGGTCTGGCTGGGACCGGTAACTGGGCGGACACCGTACTCGCAGCTTCCCTCCTGTGAGGAAGGCAGACGCCAGCGTCAGAGTAATGTTTTGTATGACAACAACAAAATAATGCAACAGTTTTAACGATTTCATAGTTATGAACGAAAGATGCAAGACTCGTAAGATTATCTACCACACGCTTCATCGATAGTAACTCTACCAAGTATGGCAAACGAACATATGTATAACACAGTGCTGATACTTCAAGATACGCAACAACAGATTCAAAGGCCTCTGAAAAAGAAAATTCGTACTTAAACAGCTAATTTGGCACCAAACAGAGCGATGTAACCAAACCCAGCCATGACAATAAGTCGCACGAGCGCCAACTCACGTGCATAAGGTGACGACGTGGACGGTCCTGCGGACTGGAGATCTCGTGACGATCGTGACGATAGTGACTCGTTGCTGCTGCTCAGACTGTGGTTACTGGGACTGGCCCGTTCCGGAGGCTCCAGGTCGCTGGTCACTGCGGAGAAGGACAGAGGGAGAGACGAAGCGTCAGTAAACTGAGAAGTGTGTTATAAAATCCGGGGGCAGGATGTACACATTCGTCATTGTGTGAAGGGATATGGAATAGATGAGAGCAGACGGTGAAATGCGATAGAAAACAAGCTCAAGCCCGACTCAGGTCCCAACTTCAGATTACGAGTCTGGTCTTCGCCTGGCCAGTCTGAGAGAGATGCAAGATGACTTACTTTACTCAGCTGAGCTCACTTCATGATTAGCTACGATCACATGATGTAAAACTACCAGAAACCAGCCACGGACCAGAAACCAAACCAGCCCGGCCCACTCACGACGGTGAGTCCGACCTCTCCTCTCGCCCCTATCCCCCGCACTAACCGAGCGTGCTGGTGACATGGTGTGACCGCGGCCGGCCGCCGGAGCCATCCGACCCAGACTGGTGTCGCCGACTCGCCCCGGCCGGGCCCTCGAGCCGGACTGTGCGCGCCGCCCGGCCCAGGTCCGGGGGCGAGGAGGCAAGTCGCGCCGGCCGGACTCCTTCCGGGGAGGAGGATCTCGCCACGCGCCGCGCGCCCGCCGGCGGCTGGTGGGAGGCCGCCGAGCGGGCCAGAGCTCGCTCCAGGCCGGCCCTGCCCAGCTCCGGGGTGGACGGTCGGGCCGCGTGCTCCAGCGCCGGCGGCACTGAGCGCGGCTCCAGCTGATGAAGGGAGGGGCGGTTAGTCATAGAGGATACAAGGTGACTGGCGGACATATTGTGGTGTTTATCAATGATAGGCGGCTTATGAGACGGAAAATACCACAGTAATTCCATAAATCAAGCACCTTATTTGAATTGAAGCTGTTTATCAGTTATGACGCATTTACCGGAAATCCATGAGTAACACTAGCAACGAAAATCACTTCGACAAGCATGCAGTTCAATCACATCTTAGAAAAGCTAACGCCAACACTTCGGAAAGCTCAGCAAAATGTCAAAGCTAATCAGACGCCATCCGTTCTTAGAAGCCCACACAAACTTCAACCGCGTCGCGCCCACCCCGGACCGTCTTAGCCCCCGACTTTACTGTAAAGCCCGCCCGTGACGTGACGTCACACTGACTCGTGACGTCACACTGACCCATGACGTCACACTGACCCGAGCGGAGGCTGAGAGGACCGGCTTGGCGGGCGGTTCCCTGGTGGCCGGCGCCGGCCCGTTGGACACGGAGCGGCCGTTGGGCTCCTGTTCACCCTCCACCGCGCCGCCGCAGAATATCTAGTGAGACACCCGGACGTCACAAGAGCGGTAGGAAGGATGGAGGGTAGTGGAGGGATACGAGCGGCAAGGTAGGATGGTGGTTCTTCAGGTGAATGGAGACGTATGGTACGAAGCGATACAGAGGACTGAAAAAAGCATATCACCTGGACATCGTGTTTGAGCGTAACCATAATGGACAATGGACAACCATCACTCCCAAGACAATCAACGAATGCCCAACAAGAAAAAACAAGCACACAACACCGAAAAAGCAATGACTGCCGAACAGCACAGCCCCAAAGTCATATTATATGACGCTGCATTCCCGAATAATATTCGAATTCCCAAACTGTAAATATTGCAAGCATCTCAAGTTAAGACAATACGCAGTATCAACCCACCCAACGGACATAAAACAAGCCAAGCCCCAGCGCTCTGGCTCGCTCTGGCATCAGCTCTCACCGCATCATAGTTCCTGATGAGCGTCTCCACGACGGTGTTGCAGAACTTGATGTCGATGATGGCGGCCATGGTGTCCTCCTCCGGCCGCAGCAGCGTCGGACCGAAACACACCGCCAGGTTGCTGATCGACATCAGGTTCCGCTCACTCTTGTTGCTCACTCTGTGAACGGTCACACGATGAAGTTATGTGAATCCTTGTTCTGCTTCATGGTATTCATGCGAGCCGTCCTTAACGTTGCAGACGTTAATACGCACCATCCTATATTAGAGCTGTTACTTATGGGATATCAAATTCCAAAAGTTATCGATGTTATGTGCGACTTACGTTAACTATCAGAGACCATCGCCAGAAGCTGGGATACGCCAGAGAGCTGCACGTAGCAAAACAAAAATCATTGCAGTCAGCACCCAGAGAAAGCCAGTACTTACTTTTGCAGATGGTGTATCAGAAGTTTCAGTAGCTGGTAGTTGAGTTTGGGTAATTTACTGACTAGACTGAGTACCTTAGCTACCCTCACTTCCTTCTTATCCGTCTCTGTAACAAAAACAAATCGCTGTTAATTGAAAAAGCAAGATGCGGAGACAACATACACTCAACTGCAGCCTTTGATCATTTAATTCATATTCACAGCTTGACTTTCCTCTGCTTCTTATTAGCTCATGAGCAATGCAAGCAGCACTCCAGTTGAAACCATAAACACTAGATCCAAAACGCTTCACAGGAGAGCCTTGTGCTGCACACTAAACATCGTCATCGGTTGCAAATTATTAACAATTGCAAAACCCTTCCCGTGACTCACTAGCTGCGTTCATGAACTCTGAGTGTAGCCGGAACGTCATCAGGGGCTCGGGCAGGTTTCGCAGGTACGTTTTGACGGCGCTGGTGAGCGTCTTGTTCTCCCATTCCTGGGGACTCGCCAAGTCGACCTGTTCAAACTTGGTCCGACTGAGACCCAGCTGCACCAACCGGTTGACCTGGCGAAACGAAAGACGGCTGTCAACGAACATAGCATATCAGCTGTCATGTCGGCAGCTGGGAAATCCTCCTACAC